TTAATTCCTTACCCAAAAGGCAAGGGGATACCCTTGGTAATACCTAAAAAATTAGCTTATTTTGTATTCAAAGTAGCTTATGATCAATATCTCATTGAAAGAGCTTTTGCCAAAAAACGATTTGCCTGGAAATGAATCAAAACATGGCTAGCTTTGCACATTGATGTTTTTTTGTTCTTTTTCGTTAGTTTTATTTTACATTATGGAGGATACTTTTTCTTGTACTTATCTTATTTTATTCTTAATGAAGTTACGCTTTTATAAAAATTAGAGAAACAAAGATGCTTACTTAGTTCAATCTTCAGTTCTTTTGCAGGTCCTTTCATGGAGCTTTTTAGCACTAGTCCCAGTTGCACGTGATGTGCTTCCCAATCTAATCGCATGCGTGCTTCTCAGTAATTTAGGAGCTTCCATCACGGAAGTAGCAAAGGATGCTCTTGTAGCAGAATATGGCAAGAAGAACAAAATCGGTGGCTTGCAGTCATATGCATTCATGGCTTTAGCTGCAGGTGGAATCCTAGGCAACTTGATTGGTGGTTACTTCTTACAGGAAATGCCTCCGAGAACCATGTTCGCTATATTTTCATCTTTACTGTCTCTACAACTTGCACTTTCTTTCTCAACAAGAGAGGAGTCTTTAGGCATATCACAACTTTCGGATCAAAATATTGCAAGGAAACACATCTCAGAAGATATCAAAAAACAGGTCTCTAATCTGTTCATGGCCATTAGTAACAAAAGCATTTCCGCCCCACTTATATGGATTGTTGGATCAATTTCCATGGTCCCGATGCTTTCCGGCCCTATATTTTGCTACCAGACACAGGTTCTAAATCTTGACCCTACAGTAATTGGGCTGTCACGAGTGGTTGGCCAGTTGATGCTTCTTTCAGGGACTGTGCTTTATAATCGTTACTGGAAAAAATTTCCAATGAGAAAACTGATAGGCACGGTGCAGATTCTATACGCTTCGTCTCTACTTTTTGATCTTATTTTAGTAAGACAGATAAATCTTAAAATGGGAATTCCCAATGAAGTTTTTGCGCTTTGCTTTTCTGGTTTGGCAGAAATTCTAGCACAGTTTAAGCTCCTCCCTTTCTCAGTTTTATTAGCAACATTATGTCCGAAGGGTTGTGAAGGATCTCTCACCTCTTTTCTTGCATCGGCTTTGTGTCTATCGTCGATAGTTAGTGGGTTTTTGGGTGTTGGTTTGGCCTCTCTGCTTGGCATTACATCAGGCAATTTCTCCGGCTTGACCACTGGGATTCTTATACAGTTCCTTGCAGCTTTATTACCATTAAGATGGATTCAATATGTACCTATGTCACAACCTGTCGTTGAGAAGCGAAGAACTATGAGCAGAAGAGCTCGAAGAAACCGAAGAGTTGGAAAAGTTTTGCTTGGTTCTATTAATGTCTACCGGCGCGAAAGAGAATCAGAGACACCAAGGTGAAAATAGGTTAATTCTTACAAGTACAGTTTCAATGACATTTGAGATTTTTCCATCTTAGTTCTCCTGAAGATGATTCTTTTTGTCATGATTGGTTCCACATATTGACTTTTGCTTTTAAGCTAGAAGCCAAAACCTTGTCACAGGTAATTTTTGAGCATATAGTGGTCCTTAAAAAAAGTTACTACTTGGATTTTCCTTGGTTCTTCTATGTCCATAACTGGATAACTTAACAACTCGATCGATCTCATCCACTTTCAAATTAGTGTAAAAGTTGGTAATTCTACTTTCTAATAGAGTTGTTAGTTCCGCTGCTCTTACAGAGAATTTCATAATTTCTTTTTCAATTCATTTGACCTCGAGGTAAGGGGGAATACCGCAGAATCAAAACCGAAACGTCAAAGTGAGCTGTGGCCTATGGCTGCGATTCGGCATCAAAATTCTGCCGTCGCAAAATTTGCCCTTCAAACTATCAGAGTTTTGTTCTTCATTGAATCAAAAGTGGTATAGAGGAATTATTGATCATCCCTTTTTGAACCTGAACATCTCTTTGCCAATGCATGAATCATGGCTGAAAATGTTGATCTCAGAATCAATTACTTCACAGTAAGTTGCTGCAAGAGAGAATTATAAGGTGCTTTGATTTCTGCATAGATGAATGTGTATAACACCTTGTAGATCAGTTAAAAAAGATACTGTAGTAGATGAGTTTTTTTTGGAAAAATTGATTTTTGATTAAATCCATTGATGTTTAACCTTTTGTAGAGGACCATGTTTGGTTATTTTTGTTGATGATTCAGAAAAAATAGTGAGGGGTCTTATAATGTTTTGACAGAGAAAGGTGAAATCTAAGATGCTTGTACAAAAGTGTAGGATTTTGTCTTCTAGTAATAAAATGTTTAAGAGTAGTTATTTGATTGATTCAATTAATTTATTATTCTATTCAGAATATATAATTAAATTAAATAGTAGAATGGTGAATAATACCAGAAATTAATGAGTTTTAAAACAGATCAAAGAGGAGTTTATGGATAAAAATTACCAAACAAGTTAATGAAATAATGTTTACTACACTCTTCTATGAATTTAAATTGTGAAGGTAGACAACACAATATTGAGGAATATTCTGTCTTTCGAAAAATAAAATTTATATTCATTTGAATCCTTCATCTACTTTCATAGGACATGATTCAAGTCGATGTGCCCTAAGACTTAAGAGTTCTAAATTAGTGGATGAGGATCAAAGTCTGGTATTATATAGGTTGGTATTTAGGTTTACTCGATCATTCCTCGCTTTACATAAAATGTGTGATTATAATGGATTTGATGAAGAGGATTCGTATCAAGAGAAAAGTTTGTTTGGATCTTCAATATTTATTTTTGAATCCTTTCAAGACTCAATTGAAGTATAGTATATGATTATGTCGTACCGACAGAGAATTGGAATACAAAATATGTCGTTCTTTAGTTTAAATCAAATGAAGTTATAATAGAAGTTTGTTTGTTGTTGTTGAATTAAAAAGAATATATAAAATCAAACTAAACTAACAAATACCTACTAGAAGTCCTGCTTTGCATTATTGCATAAACAAAGAAGATTAGTTTACAAGATAATCAAGTAAAATTAAATAACAAAAATAGAAAATTATTTATTATATTCACAATTGCTTAAAGATAAAAGGTAAAACAATGTTTTTCTATTGATGCAATTCTCCGGCAATGACACCATTTTGATGAAGATGATTCTTATCAAAAGAAAATTTTGTTTGTGTCATTTACTATATTTACTTATGAATCATTTCAAGACTCAATTGTAGTTTAATATAGAATTATGTCATACCCAGAGGAAATTAGAATAGAAAAATGTGATTCTTTAGTTTAAATGGATAGAATGAAGCTTGAATATTGTTGTTTAATTAAAAAAATATAAAAGCAAACTAAGCTAACAAATAATAATTCAAGAGAACAATAAGGTTGGAATTGGTTTCACTTCTTAACATTTCAATATCCAAATGATTAAATATGCAAGTTATGCTTTATGCTTGATTTCATCACATCATTTCTTTATCCTCTTTACGGTCCTCGACAGAGAAGATGATACAACTCATTTTGTAACTATCAATCTCTTAACTAGTTAATAAAACAAATTGTATAAGCTTGGATGTTGGTTTGACAAATGATCTAAGTCTATTCCTAGAGCATAGCTTCATTTGATGATAAATCCATGAGTCAAATTGAAAGATTAGTTCTGACGTAACAATTCAAATCCAAAATCATGTTTTAGTCTTTTAGGTGGTCAATCTAAAATAAACATTAAAAACAAGATTGTATCATCAAAATCAAAGCATAGAAACTTGCATAGAGAAATAAAAAATAGATGGATTGAGTAAGAACTTATCCAATTCCAACTAAAGAGTGATAGCTATCTATAGGCATGGATGCTTTAGGCTTGAAGTGAAGACTCAATAAAAAGCTTTCTAATCTCACTTTTTCTACTCTTATTCTCTCTGAATTTAAGGTTAAAAATATGTGCCACTTGCTTACCCGCCAGGAGGGTTTCGTTCTCATGTGCTAGCCATCCAGCTTGTTGTGCTAGAACGAAGATCTGATGTCCTGTTTCCTGTCCTCAATGGTGTCTCGGGCCAATTAGAGTGTGTCATTTAATTAAAATAAAAAATTATAAAATTATAAATAATATTTTATATTATTTAATGCATTTTTATTGATGGGGACAGAAATACAGAATCCATTTGAGACAGAGGATCCCTGTTAGTTGTGCTAGAGTGCCAGCACTTGTTGTGCCTGGCCGCGCTGGCCTACTAGAATGGGCAGCAGACCTTATAGCCGCCCAACCTAGTTTCCTTCATGTGGGGGGTTTTCTTGATTTCTTGCATTTTTCGGCTTTCATGCATATTGGTCACCTTTTTCTTCTATTCTTCCATTCTTCAACCTTAAATTCAAAGTTAAATTGGAAAAGATGCATCAAATAATTCTTTACTCAATTTACTAATTCTAATATAAAAAAGTATGAAATAAGTTGGGTATTTTTCATGAATTACCAAGATAATTGCCTAAAAATATATTAGAAATTATGGTCAATTTGACACTTATGAGGATCCAATCACAATCTTATAAATAATAAGAATAAATTTTTCTCAATTAATCCTTTTTTGCCGTTATTCTTCGAAGGCTTGTGCAATCATAGAGGTTCGCTATATGATATCCAAATCACGACACTTGCTAGAATGAATGATAAGAAAACTAACTCATCATAGATTGGGTAGATCTTTGCACCAAAAACAAAAACTATTGGTGTAAAACTCAATGGATTCATGTGTCTTATTGGTGTTTCAAGCGTAATTCATTAGTCTACAAATCCCCAACTAGATAGAATACAAAAAAAATCCAGTGATAATTACCTACAAAAGGATAAGATAAACATAATCTAAATTCAATTTTGGCAACCCACGACAGTGTTTGAGGAAACGGGCTGGTTGTGGATTTGGTAATCTTTTGGATTCATCATGGTCGATGAACACGACACGGGTCGAGGTGTGTGGCACGGGCTGGCTTAGGACTTGTAAGTATATATGTCAAACTAAGCCGAGGTGAATTAGTTTTCTGTAATTTGTGCAATTTTTTGCTTCTTCTTTTAGATGAAATTCATATTAGCAACAGAAGACTTAAAGTAAGCAAAAATCAAAACTGCATAAAGTAAAAGATTAAAGGTAAGAAAGATAACATCAAATATATCGTGGTTCACCATCAATCTACCGAAGGCTACATTCACTCCTCTTGTAAATCAGAAGAGATGTCACTGTGAATGAGTATCAATCTTACAAATCTTACACCAAGATTTCTTCTAAGATTATCACTCACTAATCTCTCAATAAGAAACATAACACTTCTTGCTCTCAAACCTTTGTAAGACAATTACAATGAGAATAACACAAATGCTCTAGTGTTTTTCAGAACAAATGAAAGTGCAGTAAAACTTTTTTGAAAAACACTTCAAAAAATTTATGGAATCAGCAAATTATGAATCAAGTTGTTGTAAATTGTGTATGAAATTTATGTATATTGAATGTAAGTATTGGGTGGTTTAAATAGACTTCTAACTAGCCATCATACCTATTCTAAGAGGTAGAAGTTGATTAGAGAGACATTGGTTCGTTTAGGAAAAATTAATGTCACAACACTTAGCAATCGATTACTCGCACATGGTAATTGATTACGCTCAGCTTATGTCCAATGAGTAATTCGTTACTCGATTGGGTAATCATTTAATCTATCTTTTTTTTTGTCTGGTAACATGTTACTTAATTCTAGGTAACCACTTACTTCGTCCCTGTAACCCATTTCTCAAGTTCGAGTAACATGTTACTTAGTTTCTTCAAAATTTGTTTTAAACCTTTTGAAATCATATTTATACCAAGTTAAAGTTTTCAAATCAATTTGAGAAATATTCCTAAGAATTTATATATTATGATTTATCTATTGATTCTTGTCCACTTAATATACATGCTTCCAAGTCTTCAAGGTTTCAATCATTTTTCTTCTTGTTGATATTGAATATCTCTATCAAAACCTATCCAAATTGGTGGGTAGTGATATGTCTTGTAAGTTGTAACTGTATCTCAACTTTGGTAATTAAAGCATGGTCGTGCCACAATATACTAGCAGGTTGTGTTTCCTTTTTTGCTGAAAGCCATTTTTCATATCTTAGATCTATTTTTTATTTTTTATTGTTATTAATATCATATCGATCATCAAATCGGTCAGGGTATTGCTATAATGATATAACAACTCAAACGCTGATTCATTAATTAAATCTCATAATATATATACATATATAGTATATTAACATTCACATTAAAAAATCAATAAAAACAATATTTTTATTAATCGGTTTTGACTAATTTTAGCTAATATGATTGCATAACCGGTATAATTGTTATTTTATACTGATATTATGACCACTTTACTAATTTACCGGTTGAACCGACCGACACGAACCAGTTTTTACGACACTACTATTTTCTTCTTTTTTTTGTTTTATTTACATGTTTTCTATACACGTTTATTGATACCCACGCTTATCCTGAACTGAACTAAAGTAGTAAAATATAAAAAGTAGATAAAATGTGTTATTTACATAACAAAATGCATGCTAGTTATAATATAATTATGCAAATATCTCAACACATCAACTTACTAAACTATGGTTGAAAATTGCTTTTCCACCAAAGCGTGCCATACACCATGTGCCATTTTTCTCATGTTACTTAGAGAAAATGAATGTATTAATAAATTGAAATAAAGTCAGCTATACTCTTTACATTGAGAAACCTCCCAACAGATACAAAAAAAAATTGAAACCACTGTTGTTTTCGAAATTTAAGGTTTAATTTGATTGATTTATTTTCTTCAATTTTATCATCGTAAATAATTATGAGAAATTTAATTTAAAGTCATCTCAATTTATCACACCAACTTCTCTTATATGTCTAAATTAACTATTGTAATAGTTATATTCTCATAGTATCTTACTCTTTTTTTATATGCAAATGTTAGTATGTTAGTATTTTGTCGTTAATGAGATTTGAACTCTCAACTTCATTATCGCTTCATTTTTTAAGTCTTTCACCCTTACTATTTGACCACTTTATGACTCCCTCATAGTATATTACTTGAACTCACCCTACTGCTTTGTTTTTTGGACCCAGGCTTGTCTCAAACCCGTATTGATATCCATTGAATATACTACCTACGAGTTTGAGTATTCATTGTCATATCTAATTATACTTCTTCCTGAGGATAGTTGCTCTCTTCTTTCTGTTTTTTTTATATTTCACCATGTAACCAAAAAAGAAGATGATATAAGATAATTTTTGCACAATGTTTTCAACAGTTTGATTATATAACAGTGCTTACCATGATAATGTTAAGTTTGGAGTGATTTACTTTTACTCCAACAAACATTGCAAATGAATGACATTTTTTATTCTTTTAAAGTTGTGTCAAACTATCCTAATCTATTATGATGATTTACTTTCATGTCTATGAACACGCTAGTATTTGATAGAATAATAATGAATATGAACACGCTAGTATTTGATAGAATAATAATGAATATAAGAAAGAAAACCTGGCAAAATGAGCATAGAATATGAATTACAGACTACGGATTGACATGAACAAAGAGACACAAAGACTTATAGAACACTAGATCATAAATATAGTCAACTAAGCCATGAGGCTTGATATTTATGACTATGCAATTCCTATTTTTTATAGATTTTTCAACATTAATGTTAATATATTATATATGTATATCTAACTTCATCGATATGCAGTTTAATTAGTAAACTATTGGTTGAACCGCTATATACCACTATATCAATATTCCTACCGGTTTGATGACCGATACGATATTAATAAAACTTATATTAACTATTATTAACTCTTAAATAAAAATAATATAGAAAGTACTATACAATGACCAAATGACAAATATTCAAATTATTAATTTAATATTATAAAGTTGATGTAATGGTAATTGCAATAAGACATGCTTATAACAACAAGTTATTTGTTAGTAGAGTGTAATATTTATATTCTAACAATATAAAGATTTATACATGATTAATGTAATATTCATCATTTATTTTTATTATTTTTATGTAAGAATCGATAATGATTAAAAATAAGTGGTTAATAATATAATGACAATATAATAATGAATGATTGAAAACTCTTATACTACATTTTTCTATTGTTCTTATAGCTATGATTTCAACAAACCTAACTTTATAATCATAACTTCGTCGCCTAATGACATTACTCTTCCACTTCGGAAGTTGTTCCACCCATCCTGAAGGGCACTGAATTACTTGATGGTGAAATGCACTTGCCTAATATTACTTTCAAATTCACATAGAATTGAAATGTTTTAGTACTATTACTTGATGTTTGTTTTGTTTGAAGAGGCAACTAGTAGATAAATTTTGGGTAACAATATTTTGAGTCTATTAGAGTACTCCAATAGAGGAATGAAATGATAATGATGATATAGAGTGCTGGGGTGAGCAGGACCTGACCCTACCTGCTCACCTGATATGACCCGATCATGGTCGGACTTGAATAGGTCGGGTCTCATCGAGTTTATGGTCGGGTTCGGGTTCAAAAAATATACTCAAATAATATGTAGGGCTGGATAGGGACCAAGTGTGACCTGTCTCAACACGTCCAATGGTCAATCAGTCATGATGTTTGTATGTATCTCTATTCAAATTTGTATAGAGTAATGATACTTTTTTGGTCGAAAGTAACATTGATTCTCTAATTTTTTCATCATATATACATGTTTAATAATATATATATATTATTTTATATGTCAAATTAAATATTCACAATAATAAATAATATTGATAAGACTTTATCTAAAATTAGTATACATTATATTTAATCAGGTCTAGGGTCAGGTTCGGGTTTAAAGGTCGACCCGTGAATATTTAGAGTCATGCTAACTTCGGGTCTATGGTTAGATTCAGGTTAAAAAAATAACTCGGACAACATTTAGGAGTTGGGCAAGGACAAGCCTTAACTTGTCCCAATCTGACGCACGCTCACCAATTAGAAAGTGTTTATTATAAATGTCATGTTTTCTACACGAATGATGTAATTTTTTCTACTCATTTTATATCACAATTATGTTCTCTCTCCATAATAACAATTGAAACAATTCCCTCTTTGTGCACCATAATTCTTCACATATTCTCTCCATATTGTAGGTAGGTTGATTAAGTGTCTTGCTTCTCTTCACTTTCATAATATCTTGATCTGCTTTGTTGAATATGATGGATAGTTGATATATAATTTTATTCAATTAATAAATCTATATAAAAAATTGTCATAGATTTATGAACATAAGAGCCAAATGTCCAAACTTGAAACTTGAAAATGAGGTGGAATGGGATTTGAAAAATGCATTTTTTTTTGTCTGTGGACAAAACTTATTACAATTTCTTAAGTACAGATGGTGCTTATAACCTATTAAAAAGTGACACATGTTTATTCATATTATTAAGAATCTCTCTCTTCAAATTTTAGGTGGTGAGTGAACATGTGTCACCTTTTAATAGGCTACAAGCACCATTTGTATATATTGGTTTTCACTCCAAAAAGTTTCAAATTATATCTTAAATTATGTTCCGGATCAATGAAAATATGTTATGTCAATTAAAATAATTAAATATTTATTATATTTCTATTTTTGCTTTAATATCATTGATCCGAAAGGGATACTCTTGATAGTACCAAAAAAGATTAATATTTATTACTTTTATGTTTTAACTTCAATAATATTGTTTAGGATAATAGAAAAATAATTCAATTGGTTATGGGCTGTTATGAGAAAAAATTGTGGAATAATTAAACACGTTAACTGAGCATACATGTATGATTGACAAGAATAATAATTAATATTGCATGAAAACGACAAATAGTAACAAAATCTTTCTAAAAAACTTGAACAATTGTGTAAGTATGTTAAACGAACATAACATAAAAAATATATTTTTCATTAATAGTTTGTCACTGATTGAGATGAGAGCATCAATTGATTGAGATAATAGTTTTTTATGCAACTTGGGGAAAAAAACTATTCTAAAGCGAGTTTGCATGTCAAGAGAAAATGATAGTACATTCTATACTTAAATTAATTATGAGAAAAATATGTATGGATTGATACTTGATAGTGTAGAAGATTTATATTATTATTGTATTATTAATCCTTAATTTTCAATTATCATTGACTCTAAAATAAAAATAATACAGATGAATGATATACTAGATATTACACTTGTTAATTATTGAGTTCAATAACACCTAGTTTTCTCCAACTCATAAAAAGCCTAAAAAAGCCTAAAATCATTTTTTAGCATCAAAATAATTTCTCAAGTATATATTTTTTTTAAAAAAAAATGAAGAAATTCTAGAAACTCATCCCTTTGTTTTTTTCTAAAATAAAAAAATAAAGTTCAACAAAGGCATGTTT